TCTATTAAAAAAAAAAAAAGAAGAAGAAAGAAAGAAAATTAATAGAAGAAAAGTGTCCAGAAACCCAAGAAAATAAAATCAAGAACATTTACCCAACAGCAAGGGACTAGATATATAGATGTTCCAAAGAGACTTGTTTTACATAACAAAAGATCTGCCTCTCAGTAGCAAACTCACTGCCCAGGAGTTGATTTGAATTAAAAGGGACCCTATAGGATCAAATAGAACTACCCCACAGAGTTTCCGCAGCTTTAAATCTTCAGAAGCAGACTACCACATCTTTCTTCTGCAGAGGGGCTAGTAGGTTTGAACCACAGATCTTTTGGTTTGCAGCCCAATGCTTTAACCACTATGTCACCAGCATGTTGTTGTTGTTGTTATGTGCCGTTGAGTCAGCCCTGACTCATAGCGACCCCTCCTTGGGTTTCCGAGGCAGTATCACTACGGAAGTAGGATTGCCCAACCTTCCTTCCGAGGAGTGGCTGGTGGGTTTGAACCACCAGCCTTCTGGTTAGCAGTCAAGTGGCTTAGCCACTACGCTACCAGAGCTCCCATGTCACCAGCATAGTCCTCCTAATTTCTAATCTTTGTACTCAGATCCAGCAACATCTTTCAGCAAATTTATCTAATAAACCTTGACAGATTTAATCACATCAATTTTAATTTTTGAGCCATTCAAGCATATTTTCAGAAAGAAATGCTCCTTATTAATCAGTTCCTTTCCCTTATTATTTACTACTACTAACCACTGCCATTGAGTTGATTCTGACTCATAGCTACCCTTCAGGGAAGAATAGAACTGCCCCCACCCCCATAGGGTTTCCAATGCTGTAAATCTTTATAGAAGCAGACTACCTCATCTTTCTCCCTTGGAGCTGCTGGCAGGTTTGAACCACTGACCTTTCGGTTAGCAGCCCAATGCTTTAAGCAAGCACTACACATCAGAGCTCTTTTATTATTACTTAGTTTCATCTTATTTTTACAAAACTAGCATGGGATTTTATTTAACAACAGTAAATTTTCTTTCTTTTAACACAGTAAAAACTTTATAAGAAAATTTTAGGCAATTAAATCTTTTGCTATTTATTTTAATTCAAATACAGTATATTATTATATATATTCAGAGCTCAAACTATTCATCTTCATCTAAACCTTCAATTAAATTCCACAATGCAAACCTTTTGGCACTAGAATCATGTTTCATGTTTACTCAACTAAGCCTGTGTCTTGAAAGAGTGTTGAAGTTTGGGGGTTTGCTGGTGAGAATCCACATTCTGACATCATTTTAACAATGACAGTGATTGGCTGTTGGAAGGCAAAGAAGAGTTTATAGCCAGCAGGAGCAAGTGAATGAGTGAGTGAGAGAGCAGAGGAAAAAATAAATCTGTGTCTTCTCACTCTCTCCTCTGAATCTGCCTCTTTACTCCAGGACTGAAAAAGGGTAAGACTTCGTATGACAGATTGTTGTTGTTATATGACAAATTCAATATCTTAAAATCAAATACTGTTGGCTTGGCTTTAAATTTCTTAGTTTAAATATTGATGTTTTGTATTGTGTAGAATGGCTATGTAATTTAACACTTGCTTGTCCTTGACTTAGTATCTTAGATTTTAAATTCTTTCCGAGCAGCTCAATTAATTAAACTAAGGCATGTAAGTAAGTTAATATTGTGCACACAAATAAGAATATTGTGCTCGTGTTTTCTATCTCTGCACATCATAGATAACTGTTTCCCCATTCTGATGCATCATGATGGTCTGCCTAAAATACTAATTTGCAGTTTTCAAATCTACCTACATGTAGACATATTTTCCCTAATATTATACCTAATCTGTCTTTCAGTGATACACATTATCTTTTCAATATGTTGGACACTAGGTTTCAAAATGCTATAGCTCTAAATTGGAAAATATATAGTTCTAGAGAAATAAATAATGTTGGTAATTTATCATACTCTTCCCAATGAACACCTATAAAATTCTCGAAACTATCCTTTAGGAATGCTTGAATGGTTGTCTGGAATAGTGGTGGTTATTGTTTTTAATAAATCACAAAACAAATAAATTTTTTGCCCAAATATATCACTTGGTTCATTTAATATTATCCCCATCATATTTTCACCTAGTTATTTTCATGGTTTGTTATGAGAAATTTATGTAATCAAAACTCCTCCTATACTTCTGTGTATTTAACAATTTTTAACTTTTTAAAATAGTATGCCTATATCCAATCTTTTTCAAGAGGCTGCAAAGAAATACTGTTCCTTGTTGCATTGTGGTGAATTGTGGTCAATGTCGTGAGACAAAGTGTATGTGAACTGCTGTAGGGAAAGTGAATTTGCTTTGTAAGTTTTCACCCAAATCACACACACACACACAAAAGGAAATAGTGTTCTTATTTGCTGATGGGCTTGGACATGGGTGACAAAGTTAAAAACACAAAAGCACCATAAAAGCAGCTTCTTTGACTGATGAGAGCACTTCAAGGGCAAAGCTTCTTTATCTTCTTATGGACACTAAGAACTTTTTATAACATATGTACAGGAGATTGTGAGGAAAGTGTGGAGGCATCAAGCTCAAAAGACTCATTCTGTCACAAAAATAAAGTATGATTTAGAACCCAAGATAGCCAGCTTCTCCATGCTCAAACCCTAATCTGCATAATGTTTATTTTAGTGGCAAGTACTCAATAAGGGTATAATAAATCTTGGTTGTTGATGACAAAATAAAAAAATCCACCTGCAGGATATATGACACAGGTTTTGTATATTTTATGTTATTACTTTTTGAAGTGTGGTTACAGAGAAATTGCCATCATCATCACATATTGCTTCCAAAAGTTTGCCCAAATTTCCATGTATGAGAAAGTAGCCTCAGGTAAATGCAAGTGGGTGGATGTTATTAAACGTTCAGCTAAATTTTTTCAACCTCTATTTAAAATAGAATTTTTTTTAATAAATAGTATTAAATTAAAATAGGATTTCAGTCTCTCCTTTTACTTATGAGGAATGTACACGGGCCTAAGAATTTCTGTTTGGACTGTAGAGTAACTAGTCCCACTTGGATAATTGCATCTCTAACCCCAGTTATTGATACCTAGAGTGCCTGGATAGAGAACTAGGTGGGGAAAAGAAGGGTTAAAAATAGGAGTGGAAGAAAATGGAAGAAACAGGAGAGAATATGGAGTGCATACAATAAATAGCAATTTTTACACTGTTCACCTTTACTACCCTTCAACATTTCCTTAGATCTGAAGTTTCCATCTAGGCTTATCCTCTGACCCTGCACAGATCTAGCCCTTGATAGTCACCCTTACTAGTGTTGTTGTTGTTGATTATGTGCCGTGGAGTCGGACCGATTCATAGCGACCCCTCCTTGGGTTTCCGAGGCAGTATCACTGCAGAAGTAGATTGCCCCATCTTCCTTCCAAGGAGTGGCTGATGGGTTTGAACCACCAGCCTTCTGGTTAGCAGTCAAGAGCCTTAGGCACTACGCTACCAGAGCTCCTTACTAGTGTTGTTGTTAAGTGCCGTCGAGTCGGACCCGACTCATAGCGACCCCTCTTTGGGTTTCCGAGGCAGTATCACTACGGAAGTAGATTGCCCCTATCTTCCTTCCGAGGAGTGGCTGATGGGTTTGAACCACAGCCTTCTGGTTAGCAGTCAAGTGCCTTAGGCACTACGCTACCAGAGATCCCAGAAAGAGACGAAGGCCAGGTGTACACAGCGCTCCTCACTAGTAGAAACCAAAAAAAAAAAAGAAAAGAAAATCCAATGCCATCATGAAGTCAATTCTGACTCATAGCAATCCTATAAGACAGAGTAGAAGTGACCCATAGGTTTCCAAGGCTGTTAATCTTTACGGAAGCAGACTGCCTCATCTTTCTCCTGTAGAATAGCTGGTGTGTTAGAATGGCTGGCATGTTGGAACAGGCAACCCTTTGATTAACAACTGAATGCTTTAACCACTACACCACCAGAGTAGATAGGAAGCTTAAATGGAATTGACAAACAATATGAAGAAATTTGCCTCTGACATCCCAACGTGAAACTCTGATGAATGACTCATAGGGTCATCCTTAGACATGGTTGCTGGGTGCTGGAGTGGCTGGTGGGTTTGAACCACCAGTCTTCTGGTTAGCAGTCAAATTCCTTAGGCACTGCATGATCAAAATTCCTTTTCATTTGATGCATAGCATTTTACATAGTAGAGATTATTTCACAAAAACATAAATACCAACTATTCCAAGATAGCCCATAGGAAACTGGCATTTAGTCTCCATTTCACAAATGAACTTCTAGCTCAAAACCTATAGATAAGCTGGAAACTACAGAAATGGTCATTAACATAAAACCAATCATTCAAATGTAATTGATTTCTGCTTAATTTTTAGGAAAAAAAAAATAATGTACATTACTACACTAGCAATTCAATTCTCTTTACTACTATTCCTAAATCAATGATATTGGAACCCTACTTTTCTCCTCATCTAAAGTACCTGATGCATTCAAAGCCTCTTGGAGCAATTCAAATGACCTTGCAAGGACAAGTAACAGAAATTTAGTTAAAATCAAATATGGAACTTGAAATTACACAGATGGGTAAAGTAAATCTTATTCCACTTTAAAGGAAGGAACAATTTTAAAACAAAAGCAAGAATTTGATCTAAATTAATCAACATTATAATAACAGAGAAATTACCAAAGCACAAAAACCAAACCCATTGCCATGGAGTCGATTTCCTATAGTGACCCTATAGGACAGTGTAGAACCACCCCATAGGGTTTCCAAGGCTGTAAATCTTTATGGAAGCAGATCTTTCTTCTGAAGAGAGGTTCAAAACTTTGACTTTTTGGTTAACCACTGAACATATTAACCACTGCATTACCAAGCCTCTTCAATTAAATCCTTCATATTTAGGTATGAGAAAAATAGTATGCTCTTAGTTTTTATTATTTATCAACTTTACTTCTTCATTAATTCCAGAAGCAATCATCAAAATGAAGACTGCCTTAATTTTACTGAGCCTTTTGGGAATGACCTGTGCTTTCTCAGTAAGTTCTTCTACAAATTCTTTTATGGTAATTTCCATCTATGTCTTTCATGTAAAAGAAAAGTTTTTTAATAATGAAATGTTCTTTTAAACAGATGAAAAATTTACATCGAAGAGCCAAATTAGAGGATCCTGAAGAAAATAGGGTAATTAATTATAGCATGCTTCTTTGGCTTGATTTCTTTTACTCTAGATTTATTGCACATTAAACATGAGTATCTCATTTATTTTGTTTATGCAGGTCTTTAAGTTCAGGCCACAGTATTATCTGTACAAGCATGCTTACTTTTATCCTCCTCTAAAACGATTTCCAGTTCAGGTAAGTATAAAGATTAATTTTCTTCTCAACAGTGTACCGTTACCTATTATGATAAAAAGAGAATCAAATTTAAGTACAGGTCACCTAAATTCAATGATCACTGAAATTCATCCAGAAAAACTGCTTACTACAAGAAGTTTGTTTTTAATGTTAATAATATAAAATACATTTCTATGTTCTCTTTTAAAGCAGAAAGACAGACAGAGAGAGGAAAATTATTTAGCCCAACCTAGAATGGCATAGCAAAAACAAAACATGGGGCACATTGGCTTAAGCTTTGTTGACTAACTCTCTGAACAAAACTGGACAATCTAAGCAGTAGCTGATAATTCAGTTAGTGATAAGATCAGTAATTGTCATGTTACAATTGATTCAATGTTATACAGCTATGTTTTATAGCCAGTAATTTAGAGCTCTTTAATTGAAGAAAAAAGCAGACTTCAAAAACAGCAGAATCATTGGTGATTGTTGCAGAAGATTTTTTGAACTTTTGACCTATGCAGGTAATTAGACCAATAGAGGTACAGACTCCAATATCAGCACTGCCCTGTGTCATGTACTGGGACATAATCGTAATGGAAATGTGGTTCAAGAACTGCAAAGAAAAGAAAGAAATTTATAAAATGAACTAAACAGGCTGTAAGGAAAATAAAGTTTCTTAAAATTTGTAAGCAAGAAGGAAATAACCACTAAAAATAAGAATTTCAGTTTTTGCTGAGTTACCATATGAAGAAACCCTTTGAAAACTGGGTGTCAGAGTCTTGGTTTAAAATATGCAACAGTCCAGAATAGCACTATTTTTGTTATTATACAGTTTGGCTTCAGGGCACCAATTATGCATCATTTGAACCAGAACTCCCAAGACACTAAAAGCAGTCAGATGTTGAAAACGATGCCTCAGCACAGTGGTTTGGCACAGCATCCTACCATATGTTGGGCTAACCAATCTCTAACTCATACAATGATAGGAAATGAGAATCTTAAAGTATTTCTAGCAGTGTTCTAATTATGGGTATCATGTGTGGCCACAGAAACATGAGCATAAAGGACACAAAAGTTGTGGATTCTTAGAATTGGCTCCCAATCTTTTGCTCACCTCAGCCCCGTATATAAATAGTGCTCATTTGAAAATTTGCTTCATTTTTTTTCTTAACCTACATAGAAATGATAATAAATGTAAACTTCTATACTAACCCCTCAGCTTTCCTGAAATATCAGATATTTAGAGAGATTCATACTCAGAAATTATATATATGTACATATTCCAATTTAAATGCCATAGTGAAAAGATACAAGGAGAAAAGGCTACATTTGACATTATTAAGAGAATCAAAGTTTATATATCTTTAAATGATATTTAAGATAAAAATATTTTACAAATTATATGCAAATAATTCTACCTCAAGTAATATAGAATGTGTAAGTAAGATATTGTTTGCTGTCGTAGTGACCTTGTAGACTGCCCTATAGGATTTCCAAGGATTTTTATGGAGGCAGACTGCCACATCTTTCTCCCACTGAGCTTCTAGTGGGTTCTACTACCAACCTTTTGGTTAGTAGTTGACTACTTAACCACTGCATCACCCAGGCTCCTTGTAAATAAAATCATTTAAAAATAAAATCCAATAAATGTATTTCCTTATCCATCAGTCTGTCCTAGTATTTATGATCTATTCTCAAATTTGATTTCCAGAATTTTTTTTACATATACCATTATGTATATATTGGTTTTAAATATACAATGCTAATTTTATTATATATTCTATTAAGATTAGCATGATAGGCATTTAGTGCCAAAGTTTTCACTCAAAAATATATAAGCCATATTGTGTTTGAAATTCATATTCTATTCGAACAAATCAGTATTTATATACAATCATTTATAAAATAACAATTTGCATTAATTATTTTATATTGGTTGCAAAGCTATCAAGTCTACTATAGCTTATCTATCTGCTTGGCTACAGAACTAAACATAAACAAGCTTATCACCTTGAATAGTTTTAACTGAGGAAATTGTATGTAAGTCAAACTTCATTTGATCAATGTGTGAACTCTTAGAGGGCAAGGACCTGATCTCTAATATCACAATGCTAGATGCAGGGCAACTGCACATATTTCCACCTTCATCTGTTGCTACTATTCTCTCCCCAGTACATTATATGTTTACAGAGCAATATATTATTTTTGGATTGAATGAACAGTGTGATAGAAGTCAGAAGAAGTAATGGTAAAAAAACAATTTTTATATATACATGAAAAACTTCTAGAAAAATCAACGGGACTTAATGACAGACAAGTGAGAAAGGATAAATGAAAGAAAGAGGAAAAAAGAAAAATGTCAAGACTTCAAGGCATTTCATTCAGTTTTTAAATTGTTCTTAATGTAGACACTAATCGAAGTGATATGGTTGAGGTAGGGAGAAGGTAAGAAGTGAGAAAAGTATTCCATTTTTTAAAAAATGACTCTGGGTACATAAATATACTGTCCTCTATATTTAACTAACAAATAAAAATGGCTTGAATATAATATTCTGCTTCATTCCCTCTCTGGGCTAGGGAATAACCATGAAGTTCATGGCAGTGAAAGAGCAAGTCTAATTATTCTCTTTCCTCCCAAGGTTATTCTTGGCTCAAGGAGGCAAGCATTCCCTTTCCTCGGGTGGCTGACAGGGCCACCTGAAAAATGAGCCCTGAGTAAGCCCTGGACATGAATGTTTTCTCATATCTGATCTTTAACCCTAAGGTTAGAAATCCTTCTGCAGATTTATTCTCTAAATGTAGGGTCCTTAACTGGGTCATCAGACTCAAAGGTAAAAATTTGCAGGAAATTATAGAATCTTAAATTCTAAAATTGGCCATCCATTTGTATATCCATTTGCTTTTATGAGCAGTTTTAGGAGAAAGAGATGGGAAATCCATTTTAAGTTATTACTGGGATAATGATGAATGTTCTTTACTGTCTTAAAGGCTCTGAAAACACGTTTAGATTTACATTTTCTACCTAAAAATTATGGATAAGGCATTTGGCTGCTAACCAGAAGGTCAGAATTTCAAACCAGCTGCTCTGTGGAAGATGGGGCAATCTACTTCCATGAAGATTTACAGCCTTAGAAACCCAGTGGGGGTTGCTATGAGTCGGAATTGACTCATTCAGTACCAAGCTCTTTAGAAGATCAGTGCTGTATAATCTCCTAAATGAGTACATGAATATATCTTTCTCTTATATAACTTTCCCTTCACCTATGTAGATTAACCTCATTTTAGGTATTAGTTAGTTTTGCTTTTTTAAAACTTTTTATTGTGGTTTGGGTGAAAGTTTGCAGAGCTAATCCATTTTCCATTCAACAATTCACACACATTTTGTTTCATGTCATTGATTGCAATTCCCTCAGTGTAACATGACTCCTCCCACATCCTACCTGTGAGTCTGGTTTCTATTCTTCCTCCTCTCCTAATTCTTCCTGCCTTCTGAACTTTATCCTTGGACAAATGCTGCCCTTTGATGTTGAATGGTTGTTTATTCTAACGAGTATCTACATTTCCAGAGTTATTGTTCACTTTGTAGACCTGTCTATTGTTTGGCTGAAAATTCAGCTATGGAAGTGAGTTCAGTTCCAGGTCCCAGGGTGACCAAGGGTCATGGTCATGGAGTTCCACTAGTCTCTATCTGACTAGTAAGCCTGGGTGAACATGGTTCTTTAGTGCTTTGGACTAATTGTTTCCATGTGTCTTTTATTTTCTTCTTTCTTCTTTGCTCCAGATGGGGGAGAAAACAGTAGTCAAAACTTAGTTGGCCACTCGCAAGCTTTTAAGACTCCAGTTGCTTGCTACTCAACAAAGTAGGATGTAGAACACTGTCTTTGTGGACTATGTTGTGTCAATTGACCTTGATGTCCCCAAAGCGTATGGTCCTAAGTCCTCAAGCTCAGTGACTCACTCCCTTAGGTTTTCTGGTTATGGCTAAGAAGTTTTCATAACTCTGCCCCCGTATGCTCTACTATATTCATGGACATATTTGCAGCATATGTAAATATATATGTGGAAATATCCTCTATCAAACCTATACATATTCGTGGTATAGTCCCATTCTCTTTCCCATACCTGTTCAGCTTTGTGTGTCTATCTATATATCCACTCATAGAATATTGATTATTGTTATTACTGTTATTATAGGATTATGTAAGAATTCGTATTTACCTCTGCTGACTTTAACGCTTGTACTCCTCCCAGCATCTTCCTTTTCTTGATCATTTTGTAGTTACCTAGATTATTAGTTTCAAATAGGTTTAAAAGTACTTTAAATTATATGTAAACTTAGTTTCTTTAAAGGAAATTCTAACTTAAATTATCCAGAAGAATTTACTATTTAAAAGACTCATCTGATAACTCCATATCACAAGTCTAATTATCATTTCACTTACCTTTTGAAAAGAAAAGAAAATATCTGCCACTATCTGCTTTGAACTGCTTAGAGATGTCACAGTTTTTCTAGACTTCAGATGCCTTCTCTCAAAAATAAAGAAATTGGACCAGATAATCCTCTTATTCACCCAGAGTTAAACAATTTTGTGATTTACTGCTCTAGTTTTCATATCAAAATGTTTCAACATGTTGGCAGTGCTTTGAGGGTTAAGAATGAGGTCTCTGAATCTATATTTTGATGATTGTGAAGTATTTCTTTTTCTCTCATCTCATTTTAATATATGCTCCATCTCCTCCTATTCTCACATTAACAAGAGACTTGTTCTAGGTAAATAAATCAATTAAAATGGTAATATTAATTTGCTTGCACAAATATTTGTGTTTATTTTATTTTATTACAATCAGCAGGAAATTTTAATTGCTCTTTAATATGTGTATGTGTGTGTATGCATGTTTGTGTGTGTATATATGTATATATGTTTGTGTGTTTTTTTAGAGCAGTAGTGACTCATCTGAAGAAAATGGAGATGGTGATAGTTCAGAAGAGGAGGAGGAAGAGGTAAGGAATGTCTGTAGTCTTTTTCATAGCAAACTAAGCAAGACAAAAAACAAATAGGAAACTAGACTACTGTAACCTGGACTCAGAAAACAGCTATTGCCAGCTGACTAACTGCCCACATCCTATTTCAGACAAGTAGTGTTATTTAAATTAGAATGGACTGAAATGACTTATTTGAAACACTATTGCAGTTTGGAGTTAAAGTTACGTGTAAGTGGTACACAAAAGCAAAAGTGCTTCCATTTTAAGTGAAAAAAGGTGTAAATTCTGATAAAAGGCAATAGAAATTTTTTTATTTTTGTATTTCAGTGCATAGAACATCATGGTAGAAGAAAAAGTAAATAATAAATTTAAACTCAGTGCAATGTTAGTTCAGTTAGCTGAACTTAAAAAATTCAATTTGCTAAGTGGGTAGTATGTGAAAGATGATCTTAAATACTCTATGATATTATTTTGATTCATCTGCCTCTCTTGATCCATAGTATAGAATTTTTCTTTTCAATAGATATTTTATATGCTTTTTTTCCTAATAATAAAATTTATATTCTTACAGAAATGCAAATATTCAAAATGTAAAAATCAATAAGATGTAAAATAAAACTCTTCCTATACAGTACCTCAAATTAATCAGTTGCTAAAACACATCTACATATCTTAGAAAGCATGCTAACATCTTTATCACTGACACTTTTGTCCAAGAAAACATACCAATGAGAACAATTTCCTGAATAGTCATTTATACATTGATTTGGGATACTTTTAAACCCAGGTATTTTAGGTGCTATTTATAAATGGACATTGACATTCAAAAATAGATCATAGATAAACATCTACTATCTTGAAAACAAAAAAATGTACGTACTTAAAGGTCATAAATTATTAGGTTGTTTTGTTTTTGTTTTGTAACCACATAAGTGACATTTCCAGTACCATATTTACTCTAATCCTTTAAAGGAAGGCCTGCTAGAACAACAAGCCAGTACCAGAAAAAATGCCACCTGCTAAATTCTACTAAATTTTGCCTGGATTTTCTCATTGTAATCTTACATAATAACTAAGCTAGGGCAATCCATTTAGCGGGAGGTCTGGTGGAGTAGTACCTGAGGCATATGACTGCTACCCAGAAGGCTGGTGGTTTAAACCCACCAGCTGCTCCTTAGAAGGGAGATTGGGTATCTACCAGCCACTCCTCGGAAGGAAGACTGGGTAATCTACTTCTGTAGAGATACCCACCTTGGAAACCCAAGGATGGGTCGATATGAGTTGGATTTGATTTGATGGCAGTGAGTTTGGTTTTTTTCAATCCATTTAACCACAGTTGTGTGCTGTATACATATATATATATATAT